GGCGGCGCTCGACGAGATATTTTCGGACGCGCTCGCGGCACGCCCCCTGCTGGGCGTCGCGACCGGCGGCTGGGTGGTTCAGGGCGCGCGCGACGGCGTCGGCTTTGAGTACGACGGCGAGTCCGGCGCCCGGAACCGCCGATTCCGGCTCACGGCGCACCTCGAGTGCGGCCCGGACGCTCCTCTCCACGCTCCTCGAGCCGGAGCTGATCGGGAAGCTCGACCCCACCACCCTCTGCCTCCGCACGCTCGCGGTGCTGGAGGACGGGAGAGACGCCGGCGCCGCGCTCTGCCACACGGTGGCCAAGACGGGCTTCCCGTTTCGGCACCGCGACTTTGTCGACGTCACCGCGTGGAAGCGGCTGCCCGACGGCACGGTGCTTCAAGCGGCTCGGTCCTGCCCGACCGCCGCCGCCTCGGTCCCGTATGTCCTCGCGCCTGCCGCCGCCGGCGGCACCGACCTCACCCTCGTCAGCCAGACCGACCTCGCCGGCTACATGCCAACTCCGGTCACGAACCGGCGCGCGGCCGTCAGCAGCCAGCACAGCGCACAGTCACGGCTGCCGCCACACGCTCTCACCCATTTCCTCGCCGCAGGATGGTTGGCCCCGTGCTGGCGGACTACGTTCGGGCGCTGGAGAGGGTGACGATATCGATAACACGCGTGCAATTTTTTAAACGTTTCCTTTTTCTTTTTTTCAATCATCTCCGGAGGAAGACGTTTTCCGCGGAGGACGTCTCACCGACGGCACACGCGGCGCGCTGCTCGCCCTTGGCGACGCCATCCCGCGCTTCCTCGAGGCGAAGATGCAGCGGCCACCTGAGCCAGTGGCTGAAGCCCTTGTGGGCGTGCAAAGCGCCAGCGGCGCCCCACGCCGAGGGCAGCGAGCTCTAAGCAAAGCCGTACGTAAGAGGAGGCATTGGGCGAGATCTACTCGCCCATAAATAAATAAATAAAACGGGCACGCCAAACGAGGGGTGGGAGAAGGACAGGGTCCCTATCTCGCCCGTCTCCTCGGGTAGGGTTATTTCTTTTGCGCCCTTCGATGCGGACGTTGCTGCTCGCCTGCCTCGCCTCTGGCTCAGGCCGCGCCGTCAGGCTTCCCTCGAGCGGCCTGAT